AATGTGGCCTCTCATTTCTTTAATTTTTTAGGCCACAAAATGGATATGCAGAGTAAGATTCTACAATTTTCTTTTCATTTTTAGAATGTTACACTACTTGGTTCACTGCTGCAATTGCTTAGAATCTGTCTCAGTAATATTCCCTATAAGAGGTTGTTCCTATATGGAATGCGATCGAAACATGGCATTTATAAATCAAAAGGCTAGGATTGAACTCCCTAAATAATGGGCTGAACACATATGTGGATCTTGAGAGACCGAAACCTTTCCATGTCAAATGTTCACAACATGTTTTCAAGAGCTGGACTGCATTACTAAAACCGTTTTACAAAAAAACTTGTCTATTTCCTATAAGACCTGTAAGTGAATTAAGAGTGCAGAATGAACATCTACAGCACATGTTTCACAGAAATTTTAGTAAAAGTCAATGGGAATCAAGCGCGGTTAACACACCAGCTTCTTTTCAATCTACGAAGGCAGATTTGAGGATTTAGCTTATCAAGACAAGCTGACTATATCAACAGCGAAATATAACTTGCAGTTTCTGAAAAAGTTCTGTAGGCCTGAAGCAAAACGATTTTACAATGAACTGCATCGTGCTGCAAATATAAAAGAATCAGAAGTTAACTAAACCAGCAATTTAGAAAAGGAAAACTATCATTATTGACTGTGAATGCAAAGTGGACAGTGATCATTATAGTCTGATTTTTGAAGGTTTTATTATTTTTATTTAGTTTATAATACCCAAAGAATGATTACTAGCCAAAGTAATAATATTATAAAACCTATCCTTGAACTAATATTAAAATTATTTTTTTATCTTTAAATCTGAGTTATTTTTCACCGTTTATAAAACTAAAACCTAATTATTTAAAAACAAAGAAAAAAGGACATTTATCATAATTGCAGTGGAATGAAGGGTTTCATATGCAAGAATAAGTATTAGATTGTACCATTTGGTGTTATGTATAGTAAGTGTGTAAGTTTGGCTGTCAATAGATTTCTTTAGCTAATTCTTACATTATTCATGGAACAAAAGGCAGTAATTATCTTACATTATAACCTGAAGCTATTTTACTTTAAATTTTTTAATATACATTTCGCAGCCAACTAGCATAATTAGACCTATAGTTAACAGCCTAGTTTTTTTTACTAAATGGCACCATTTACTAAACTCAAAAACCTGCAATCAACATTCAGAACTGTACGATAATAATTGTACACATATGATAATTTCGTGCCTACATATGATGTACGATAGCATGTTATTATCATATGCAGATTGTATGATAATTTCCACCATGATGCAAAATTTAAGAAATTGTTTTATTTTACTTACATGCTGATAGCCTAAGGGTGAATTCAATCAAATACCATGTTACTCCAGTGTGCCCTGGAATGATTTTACTCTATGGTCTTAATCTCAGATAACTTTGTTAGCATTTTTCCAACACAAACATAGAGTAGCTAATACTGTGTATTGTTACTCTGAGTTGGTGAATGAACATGCAAGCCAACTAAAATCGAAGTACAGTTGTTTATATAGTGCAATCCAATATTTTCTGTCCGCTTATAGTTTTCCGGATTATAATAGAGTTAACTGTCACTGATAGGGAGTATGTTCAGGTTCGAAAATTTATACTGTTGATTTGAAAGCGATCCCTTAAAAGAGATAAACTATAGGGTACTTGCATACATACAAATTTATTAATTTATAAATCAAATTAATAAATAATATGATTTATTATTTGTGATAGACATTATTTGATAAGTACAATAATTTCGGTCCATGTACAATAATTCTACACCCCTGGTACAAAAGTCAGCTCACTTCAAGAATTGCTAATGTTGCTAGGGATTACTTTGTTGAATGAAATTAATAGGGTGACCAAGCCATGTAATATTGCTAACCTATGCCTAATAATGCACTATTTACTATATTACATGAATGTATGCCTGTTTAGGGTGGACGAAGGACATCCCCAGCCGCACAACAACCAACTGTCTCTGATATTATAAGATAGATGCAATGTTGTATTAGATAGATCGGTTGAACATCATACAGACTGTTAGTTGAATAGTTGAGTTACCAGAGATAACCATTTTGCAACTGACTTCAAAAAAAAAAAAGAGTAGATTCTCAATTTGACTGTATTCTTTTTGTGTTACCTCAGAACTTTTTTATAGGTGACCCTATTTTAATGATTCTTTTTTATTTAAAAGCCAGTGCTTCCCATGTGGCCCATATAAATTTGATTAAAATCTGACCAATAGTTTTAAGTTATCCTTAATTATGCAGCATTTACATCTACTTAAGAGGATACCTTGAAAATGAATCGAAGTTTTGGGGGCATGGCTTATTCCTTTGTCGGTAAAGCTAACGGACGACTGCGGTAGTGTCAAAATGAAAGTGATGCAATGACTTCATAGTATGTAAATTATGAGATAGCCATACCGAGCAAGCGCTCGGAAAAAAACTAAGTAAGCGCCAAACAACATTTTTATTTATTTTAATTTATTTTTAGATATGATTATTTACTATGCCTTAAAAATAATTCCATGAAATTATTCGTAAGAATATTGTGGTGTCATCGAGAAATGTAAATAATTACTGCCTTATTAATAAAAATTGCTTATTCCAAACTTAATTCGAAGTTACGCTTGGACTAGCTAATCTCAGAGTAACTGACTATTTACTTCGTTATTACAATGTTATTAATAAGCATGGAGTAACCTCGGACTAACTATACATTCCTTACGCCGGGATTAAGGCTTGCGCTATGGCAACCCACTTATTTTAAAAGTAAAAAGAGTGAGTCAGTGAATGATTAGTGAATGAATTCAATGCTTGATGATGACATTAATGACAGTGACAGGCAATATTTTGAGTTTGACAAGAGATAAATGTTACGGGTTGTTCCTTGTTCCTCGTGTTGTTTTTAAAATTGGTGGAAAAACTAAGTTCTAAATATAATAATTTTTAGTATTATTTGTAACAAAATTTTAGAATTAAGAAAAGAGCGTGAAGGGCAAAATTAATTAAATAACCATTTTTGTTTTGTGTTTTGGGGATAAATAAAATTTTGTACATGTAATTATTGTATATTTATTTAAAAAAATCGTTAATAGTGCTGCCCGAACAGAATTTTCTCTAACCGAGTTATTTACTAATTATGTGACCGATATATTTTATCATCTCCTTATACTACATCCTCAAGCAGATCTTGCTTTTGCATTGCAATGTATATATTGTTTTGTATGCTCTTATTTAGTATTTAGTCCTCGCAGTAAATACCAAAACCTTTGCTTCCCTCCAAAGCATTGTTCTACAGTGTAACGAGGCCACCAGATGTGCGACCGGTTATACATTCTTCCTTTTGTTTATTAGGACGCAGGATAGGCGTGTATAAAGAAGTACAATCATAACCAGAATCTCGGAGAAGTCTGTCTTTAAATTCTGACTGCTCAAACATTTATTTTAATGCGACGATAATTAAATATTCTTGAGTCATGTGTGCTGGCTGCCTTGCCAATGTGCCACTGTATCCATGAACTCTAAATTTGCATTTTACACAACCTGAAACAAAGCACTCATAACTTCTTTAATATGAAGTAATAGATTGAGGTGATTGTATTGAATCTGAGAAAATAAATAAGTACCTATACGGCAGAGATGGGCTAGCTAGGTGCTATAAAACTTACTTGTACATTTATTGAACTGTATCCTTTCCTGTTTATGTAGTATTGTCCAATGTTTCCAGCGACTTTCGGGATTAGAATATGTAGCAATCAATAGCCCCAATCACTCGTCTAAATCCACGTAATGAATAAAAACCTGCAATCACTTTGTTCTGCTCCACATCACTTCTTGGCATTTTAATCCTTTATGCTGTTTTTGTTACTAGTGCTTACAACTTATGAATTTAACACGGGTAACAACGCGCGTAAACGTAAAGTTTTACAAAATGTCAAAATACGTGACTAGTCTATGCTTACTCAGTCGTTAAACTAGGTACCGCCAAGGATTAACTTTTATTCCGAGAGTAGATTCGGATTAGTTTACTCCCTCCTTACTCTATGTTTATTAATACTGAAATTAGATATTTTAAGCTTTAAACTAGGAGTAAAGTTAATCTTGCTCAAGTCTGTGTTTATTAATAGGGCTGTTAGAGCCTACTTTGCAATTTTTGCATCCAATCCAAGGTCATATAGTCAAAAATCATATACCAAAATTTTGGTTTGTAATCTATAAAACTTAAAAAAATATGTTAAATAAAAAACCAACAAATTTTCGAAGTATCACCTTGATAGATTATAGACAAAGATTATGAATTGTAATTTTCTGCCATGCAGTTTACCTTATAAATTTATTAAAGTTTAAATGCTACAGTATACGATATAACTTGATCGAAACTAATAATTAAGAACTATTTATAAAATACACCATAAGACAGTGTAATTCAAAGAAAAAAATATTGCTTTCTTTGTTTATATAATAACAAGGAAGTAAAACAAAAAAATAATGAACTATTGTAATGAATATTATAAAAAAGTTAACCAAAAATTATAGAAGTTATGGTGCTGCTACACTTTAGGAAAAAATTATAAGTGGTTCCATGTATATCCACTTTTTAAACACATATGTTAAAAATCAATTTATTTGAAACAAATATCCTACATATTTTAGTGATTTTGGAGTTTAAAAACTAAATAAATTGTATTAATTTTGTAAAACATGTAACTATAATACAGTTTTAACCATGGCTGATCTTAATTTAGGTACTTCTGATTGTTATTACCATCGCTGAATGAATCGAGATCAACGTATGACGTTAACGCCACCCACGATCAGGGCAAATCAATAATATATGCAGCAGTCGAAATATTTTGTTTCGTTAAAATTACAAATTATATGATAATGTGGTAAACAAACATCGATGATTAACAAAAATAGTAACTGTTGAAACATACAATATGATAATTATAATCATAATACATACCCGTCTCTTCCTTCCTTTGTACACCATAGCAAATGCTCCATGCCCAATTATATCTTGTTTAGTGAATTCATATTCACCAACTTGAATAACTTCCATTTTCACTAATTTTCCTTTAACCACAGACATTTTCGGTTCTAAAATATATACACTTGTTCTTAAGACAAAAAAGATCGATATTATAATTTCGGAAAAACTCTTTTTAGGAACTTGACTAAGCGCTACATTCTGATTTTGTGCTCATAATCACTTCCTGCAAGTTTCCATGTATAATTTTACAGTCACTGTGCACTAATATAACATTATTGCCTTGCCAAAACACAACACACAATGAACGCAAAATGTACGAGTGATTTTATTTTGTGTTGTGTTATGTTTGATTTTGCGAAGTAAAGACTGATGTATTGCCAGTTCAGCGTTGCGACTGTAAAAAATTGAGTTGCCGTATCTAAAAACGAAAATTGCCGTATTTATGAAAAAAATCCACGAAATTGCCGTAAAGTATTTATTTCTACAAATAATTAAATAAATCACATAAAATCTGAAATTTCTTCACCATATAGGTTTCTGATTGATTGAACATCACTCGTTTGTCTATGTAATCAATATTTTTCTTTGCTTTTCATTTTCTTACACATATCATTTGACATTTGAAATTTCTAAGTACAACCTCCTTGATTTTAACCGCTTGTCTTGCTAATAGAGCTTCGTTGACAGTGGATGTTATCAATTTATTTCTGGATTTTGTTTTCATATTGATTACTTCACTGAAAACTCTTTCGCAATCTGCATTGCTATGTTGTAGATAGACATAATACGTCTAAAGCAAATTTTGCTAATATTTTGCAGTCTGTAGTATCTTGGACATTTGCCCAAAATTCATGTTTTCATTTCTAATTCTGAAATTTTGTTTACATTTGGTAGCAACCTCCACTCGTCATCAATTCGTTGCTTATCTGATTCTCTCACAACTCGTCGTAATTGCTGGGCAAGTGGCGACAATGACGGAAAACAACTATGACGTCTTTGTCCTTTTCGCGTGTTTTGAAGTAAGAGTTTAAGCTTTTTGTAGAAAGTGCAGCCATTCCAACAAAGCCAAATTGGATCCAAGTTGAATTTACTGCCAGAGTAAATACTACAAAAGTACCGTACACATCTTATAGTTCATAATGTTGTACATTCATTCAATAATATAAACAAAGTAAATATGTATATCTCTTACGTTCATTACTTCTATCAATGTCTACCATGTGTCATGTTCATGCCATCTTTGTTAGTCTCATAAAATAAAAGATGGAACGGTAATTTCCCGTCATAGACAACCAAACTCTTTATTATCACTTAAGGGATGACGAAAGTGAAAAAAATATGGATATCAATACAGGTATTTATATTTTTTGTTCATAATTTGCCATCGTGGTTTATTGCAAAGCTGAATTGTCGTAATACTTGATATGGCAATGAAAAGCCTGCCGTATGCCGTATGATCTTTAAAAAAATCGTGGAATGCCGTATATTACGGCAATTGCCGTATCGATCGCAACGTTGTGCCAGTTGCTATTATTCATAAATTACACTATGCTACTACCCAACTACCCAGTTGCCAGTTGAATAATAACTTTATTACCCAAAGATATATTAAAATCATATATTAAAATATCTTCTTTATATATAATATCTACATATATACAAAATATTTATGTATTTATTTCTTTGACTAGAGAAGAACGAAAGGACATGACATACCTACGAAAAAAACGTGTATACTTAAACTGAGTCTGGCACAAAAATGGCGGCTTGACGTAGTGCTGCGCACTATACTTAATATCGATAATGTGGCGCTTATTTAGAAAAAGATTCTTTCATGTGATTCGTCTCAAACACCCGTGTGTTCTTAAATAGGTTTTTTTTAAATCAATATGACGGATTTTTGGCGCTTAATTGTAAGTCCTTAATTTTTTTTTACTCAACCTATCGATAGGGGTATTAAAATAAAGGAAATTAAAAGGAGATTACTGAAATATATTACAAGCTATACCTATGTTTTCAGTTCATTACCTTTAAGCAGTCATTTTTTTGTTTTTATAATGTAATTATAAAACAAAAAAGTATAATTATTAATGTTACAATTATTTCCCGGGAATTACTAAACAAGGAACACTAATTAAAAAAAATTTGCTTGTTTGTTTGTTAGATAATAAATTAGGCTCAGTCATCATACTCACACTAATCAAACTATAATAAATGCAAAAGTTTGAATGTTTGTTTGTTCCTCAAACACGCCAAAAGTATCAGACTAGTTTGAATGTAATAATTTGGCACACAAATAGTTTATTATCTGAATTAACATATAGGATACTTTTTATCCCTATTTAGAGGTCCCGAGAAATAGAATAAGAAATTTCGTAATAATCGAATTCCACGAGAGAAACATATGAAAATAACACACTCACCTCATTAAAGTCGCAATGACAACTGATATAGTTGTCTTTGACAAAACATGGCGCCCGAAAAAATTGATGCCAAATTCGGTAATGATAAAACTAATGTTGTCCTTTTTTACATACGAATATACTCATAAGCTAAAAAGAGACGCCGATATTTCATTACATTCCTACAACAAAAGATCTTTATCATGTCCTTTCTTTTTTCTCTAGTCAAATATTTATTTATAACATCTTTGATATAAAACAGAATTGCCAATAATGATAACTTAAAATGTTATCTATTATCTTTGGCTAAAACGTAGCTCTATTATCATAGAACACTATAATATATATGTATTACAGTATTCTATGCGTAGACCTATAGACTAATGATTAGCATCATTAGCATGGCCTCGAGTGAGAAAGGACGATAACGTAGTTTTAGGTTATACAATAATCTTTATGACTTTTAAACATATTTAGATAAATTTTTTAATTGTTCTAAGAACTGAACTGAACAAGATTCACCAATCTTAAGCTCACAAAACACTTTTTTCTCACTTAAACCAACTTGTAAACTCTCTAGATCGCTACGAACTGTCAAAGGTGTTTACCTACGTACGAATTTGTAAAATAAAGTTTATAAATCAAACACAAAATCTGATCAATTAACTACTCCTTAAAAAAGCTTAAGTCATTACATAATGCCGTTTTGTTTGCTCGATCGCAGTTTTATGTAGAAGATATTTAATTTTAATATAGATATATTTTTAAATGACATCCATTAGTTTTGAATACATCGTGAACATACACCCACGTAATTATATAAATATCTACTGTTTCGGACGGCAGGGACACGTCCAGTGCCCGCAGGCGTCCCGGGACAATCTCCCACTTCATGACGTTCTTTCCTTGCTTAGTGCTGGTGACGCACGTCCCACGCACCCCTGAATGCGTATGTATAATACGACCCCACTAGAACCTCGAGAGAGAGAGAGATAGACGATCAGCCGGGAGGAGGCAATTAAAACACTTTTTTCCTAGGTAGTTACTTAGGTGTCTGCTTCCTTTTTTCTTGTTGTTGTAGCCTCTTCGACGGCTGTGCTGCGACTGCGATTTGAGCCGAAATTTGCTCGACTTTTATACCCGCCGGCGTTACCGTACGGACGTTAGCGCAATTTTCCCTGTCTCGCGTGTTGTTTTTATTTCGAGCCGAAACCTTAGGAGCCTTTATTTATTAAAACTTTCACATAACCCTTACAAACTATACATTGTTAGATTGCTCTAGTACTGTTCTATAATATAAAATAATGATATAAACTCGATTGTAAAACCAGTGCGTGTTGCCTGTGATGACCTATGGATCTGAGATTGGTCCTTCACTGCTGGCCGCATGAGGAAGCTCAAAGTAGCTCAGCAAGCTAAGGAGAGGGCTATGCTCGGAGTTTCTCTGTGTGATAAATTTAGGAATGAGGTTATCTGCAGTAGAACCAGAGTAACTGACATATCCCAACGGATTAGTAAGCTGAAGTGGCAATGGGCCGGCCATATAGCTCGAAAAACCGATAACCGATGGGGAAAAAGGTTCTTGAGTGGCAGTCTTGTACCGGCAGGCGAAGTGTAGGGCATCCCCCCACTAGATGGAGTGGCTCAGGACCATGCTTTGTGGCATCCCTTGGGGAGGCCTACGTTCAGCAGGACAGCAGCTGGTTGGGCGGCGGGCCTAGAGGTTCCCGAGTTCAATTCCCAGGTCTAACCTTGACCCTATTGTGCGAGATGTTATACTAGGTGGACTGTATACGCGGATGGCTTCTTATGCCTCGACAAGATGGCGGACGCGGCACGCGGCAACCTTGGCCAATGCACTCGCTCTTCCTAATCTATTGCTTGCCAAGGTTAGGATGGAATTCTACTTGAGCACATTAGGAGAAACAAAATGGGGCGGGTTAACTAATAAACAAAATGCTCAAGTAGGAGCAAAGTTACAGGAAACACACTTACCGGGGTGTGATTCTGATGCGGCGGACGACGTTTCCGTTGCGGTGATGCGACGTGAGGTGGGTTCTTCTGGGGCGCCCCAGAGATGCGATCCAGGCCAGCGGTACAAAGGAAGAGGGCGGTGCGCGACGATATCTCACGCTATGTGAGGCGGTTACTTCTGGAGCGCAACTGCCTAAGGTGGTGCGGTTCAGACTAGCGGCGCGAAGGCAAGGGAGCGCTCGAGGGCAGCGCGCGAGCCTTTATTGCCACGGTTTTCCCACCAAGGCACCTCGGTCGGGCGCGCGTCTCATTGGTCGAAAGAATCGCGTCACCTTCTAGACTCCCCCCTTTTCCCTTTCAGTGTGTACGGAAGGGACATGAGGTCAAACACTTGGCAAATATACCCTCGAACAAAATTAAAATACACAAATCATTTCCGCGTAACCAGCAGCTATGGACCTGTGAAGGGCTGTAATGATGATGATGGCTGTTACTTATTTTTTTAGTTTTATATCACCCTCATAGAAAGAAGTTATAAAACTACTGTATTTACAAGAGTGTAAAATTACGCCGTAAAAATAATATATAAATAGGGAGTTTGCATACACCATTGTTCAGAAATAAGATTTGAGTGATACTATAATAACACTTAGAACTGTATAAGCAAGTAACAGTTTTGAAAAACAACTTTTATACAGCTTTAATGATAAAATCGGATTCATCATCATCATCATTATTACAGTTTACAGCCCTTCACAAGTCCACTGCTGAACATAGGCCTCCCCCAAGGTATGCCACAAAGCACGGTCCTGAGTCACCTGCATCCATCGACTTCCTGCATGCCTTACCAGGTCGTCACTC